TAGTAAATATGAGATGATACAGAAACACCTATAACCCAGAAAACAGTCAGGGCCTTAGATGATGTTCAGTTATTTCATATGCCTCTGGCATTATGGAGAAGTATGGTAGACTGCTGCCTGTGATGAGATCAGATTGCTAGTTTGATTTTTACTTTATTCTTTGGCCCCTTTCTCTTATTTTTCTTCCTTCTGCCCAACTATTCTTAAAAAAAGATTAGCTAGTTAACAAGACTGCATATTGCTCTAGCAGTGATAACCACGCTGTTACTGAAAGAATAAGGTAGTATGACGAAGTTTTTTTGCTTTACATTTTTAAATTAAACACTTTGATTAAATTACACTTGTGCTGTTATTTTAAGGAAGGTCATCTGTTTAATAAAGGAAAGAAAATACCTTGATGGTGAAGTCTGATTAAAAAAAAAGCGCCAAATAAAACAAACAAACAAAAACCACCTACCTCAAATAGTCACTAATATTAGGTTTTTGGAATTGTTGGAAGATCAGTAGTGAAACTGAAATTTTGCCCCAAGTAATTCCCTTTTGTTTCAAAATTTTGATATAAATTAATTATACAGTGGAATAATTTGCCTTGCTTTCTGTTGCTACACGTTTCAGAATTATCCCCTAAAAGCAGAATTTGCTTGGAGTGAAGGAAATGCTTCACTAATGTGAAGCGGACACTTCTCTGTTTCTGTGAGGCCCAGGCTTACAGGCTGTTTACAGGATCACATAGTTCAGTCATCAGCTTCTCAGGAAGCAAAAGCATAATAAGTTGAGTGTGAAAAGAGGTGGAGTTCTTAACCATGTTGACAGTAGCAAGCCTGAATCTTCGTATGTACTGGAGAAAACAGGATATCTTCTGATGCTAGATACTGAAGTAGTTGTTTTTGTGCCTATGTTATTAAAACCTTATTGAAGGCAGAACTGGGCAAAGCAAAATACTTCAGTTGTTTGCAGAAGTGTGATTTTTTTTTTTTTTATTTTTTTAATCATTTTTTAGGATTGCTGTGGAAAAGCTTCATGAAATGGATGACACTTTTAGAAAACAACTTGAGTCAATGTTGGCAGCTCATCAGGAAGAACTATTGCAGCTAGCAAATGAAAAGGAAAAGCAAATTGAAGCAGCAAATGAAAAAGTAATTTTACACTTATATGTTTACTGTGTTTGCATTTTTAGTCTATGGCTGCCACAACAGTGGTGCTTGAAGTCACCTGTTTGTATCTATCTGGCTAATCTCTGGATGGAGGCAGACCTGGTATAGCACTCAGTCTTTGCGCGGCAAGAAAACCTCTAGAACTGTACCATCATGAGGTTCTGTACTCAGGCAAAGTAAAGTTTCAGGAGGATGGGGCCAAACTCTTCAGTGGTGCCCAGCGACAGGACAAGGGGCAACGGGCACAAACTGAAGTACAGGAAGTTCCGTCTGAACATGAGGAAGAACTTCTTCCCTCTGAGGACGACGGAGCCCAGGGAGGTTGTGGAGTCTCCTTCTCTGGAGATATTCAAGACCCACCTGGACAAGGTCCTGTGCAGCCTGCTGTAGGTGACCCTGCTTTGGCAGGGGGGTTGGACTAGATGACCCACAGAGGTCCCTTCCAACCCCGACCCCGACCATTCTGTGATTCTATAAAGTTGCATGCTATGTAGCTGTTACGAATCGAAAGCTAAACTTTTCCTTATCTATACAGGCAAGAATAATGATTCTGCCAGATAGTCCATTTAACTCGCCTATTCCAGTGTTAACAGTGACTGTTCCTGTCATACGCTGCAGTCTTCCTTAGTGTGACAGCTGGTGCTTTCTCTGCATAGGAGGTGTTTTGGTTTTGATACATTATTCGCTGTCTCCTAGCAAATTAATGCTTTTTCTAAAGCAAAATTCTGCTACTGCATCCACTGTCAAAAGCCGTGCATTGCTTATTTAAATATAAGCATATAACTCTTGGATTGCTTATCAGTGTTAAAAATTGCAAGATTATATGGTTTTAGGTATGTTAAAGAAAAGCAAAACTTCTGTTTAATCTGTGTGCTCTTTCAGGTTTACTGTGTTGAAGAAGAAATGCGGCAGCTTCTGCAGGAGATGGCAGACAACAAAAAAGCCATGGAAAATAAAATAAGGCGACTTACACATGCACTGAATGATATTCAACAAGATCTTTGAATATTATTAATATATGCACTAAAGCCATGTATTACACAAACAGATTCATACACTACACTGCACTTTTCCTTGTTTTCTAGAGAATAAATTCTTCGTGATATATTTTCATGGTTCATGAACCAGGTATAAATATTTTTACATTTACTTTCATAATAAACAGTTATTTCTAACCTTTGGGTTTTTTAACTGTTTTATCAAAATGGGTCAAAACACATATTTCGATCAAAAGCATCATATAAAAACACATATACGTGAAAAGTGTCATATGAAATGAGGAATTAGCATGTTAAATAAGAGAAACGAAGGTTGGCCCTTTGCTTCTAAGACAGGAGCTTGAAGCTTTGCGTAGCTGGTGTAAAGGTTCTTATAAGGAGAGATCCAAGAATTTACCTGAAAATACTTTTCATCTGCCCCTGTTGATGAGGAACGCGTAACTCTTGCAATTTAGAGTGGCTTTTTTTGGCAGCGTAGTTTGGTTCTCTACAACAACAGGCGTCCTAGCAGGCTTTTGAAAAATAGGAGATAATAAACGAAGAGCTTTTTATGGAAGCTAATCATAAGCCTTATGTTAATATGACTGTTACACTTCTTTCATCATGGAGACCTTACTTCCTGCATTGTACTCTGGCATTTATTTTGTTTGCGTGTTCTCAGAAGATCCTAAACTGTCAGTGCACTACATCGTACTCTGAAGTGCGTAATGCTGCAGTAGTAAGTAAAATAGTAAGTGGTAAAAACAGTTATGTGTTGGTAAACCAGGTGGAGCTATCTCTTCCTACCTTGCACTTCCCAGTAGCTAAACCACTGTTGCTGTAATGACAGAAGCCACTGAGCTAAGCCAACTTTACCACCAGCCTGTTCAGAACCCAGGCGTAAGCACACCAACATGGTGTAACTGCAGTGTGCAGTAAAAGCACTGCTGCTAGCAAAAGGCCCTGGCCTTTGGCCAACCGCGTGAGGCCCATGGGTCGGGCTTGTTATCAGCTTGTTATGGGAACTTGCTGTGTGAACCAGAGCTTGACAGCAGCTGCCTCTTGTTATGAGGTGCAGCTTAAGCGTGGGGTGTAACAACTGCCTTGAAAACACCAGCAGAAGCGGAAAGCAGAGGCCATGGCACAAAAACAACTCGGTGGTCAGTGACTGGTCTGACAAAGTGCAGCCTTGAGAGCTGGGAACAGACTGCTTTTGCTTTAAGAAAGGAAGCAGCAGCGAAGCAAAATAAAAACACAGCCAAAATAAAAAAGCCAGCCCAACAACTGCAGGAGGCGCCTGCAGTGGCCTGGGAACACAACACACACACCCCCCCGCCTGGCCCAGCAGCGTTGTCCACGGGTGGAGGTGGAGGGCTGGGAAGGGTATCGAGGCTGCATGCTCTTTTAAAAGGGTGAGATCCCCGATTTGTGGGAGGGGGCGGAAAGCAGACCCCTGCTTCAGTTCTGGCTCCCTGCATCCGGAGTTTCTGCAGCTGACCACAGAGGACCGGAGCCGTCAGCACTAACGAGGAGGCATCCACTCTCTGGTACTGTATACTCCCAGGTAAGCTGGGCTGTAGCTGTTACAGACTGATTGCTTTGCATCTGTGCTGAGAATATGTAAAAATTAATGTGTAGTGGTAATGGTTAGCAAGGTGTAAGAACCAACTCTTAGCACAATTGGGTCAATGAATGTCAGTCTAGTAAATTTTACTGTGAGGTTTAAAATTAGCCGAATTTATTGATCTACTGGCATCTCTTGATTCCCTGATATGAATATATCAACGTTACCTAAATGAGGCAGAAAATGACTTCTCATTCTTGCCTTGTGCTCTACATGCTCCTGCTTCTTTAGAAGCCATGTTACGTGCAGAAATATTTGCCTGGGAAGCTGCTCTGTAGCATTTACGTGGCTGCCACTCGCATAGAAGGGTTGCACCACTACAGAGGGCTTTTCTGTCGAGCATTTCCTTGGGCACTTCTTTTTTCTTTGTTTATTATTTGACCAAGCTACACTTTGGGTGAAGTGATTGTATACCTGGAATGCACCAGGAAGGTAAAAGACCTTACTCTTACCCTGATTCAATTTATTAGTATCAGCTCAGAGTTTCTCCTCCAAAATTTTCATTCTGAAATGTTTTCTGATTTCACCGTAGGGAGTTGTTACTGTTTTCGGCATAAATTCTTTCTATTCCTTGCTCTTGGCTGAGAAATCTCATACTACGGTACTTGGGTACCTGCACGCATTAGTAGTGTTTGGACTGTTTGTTTTTCTTGCAGCTACTTCTGCCTCTGCCATCGCTTCCCTCTTTACACTTGCATGGCTTCCTTAGTGCTTTTTAATAGTTATTTAAATGGGTTCTACCTTCAAAATGACAAAGTAATAAAAATATGGCGTAGGTCAAAGCTGTGCCAAATTTACCTATTCACAACGATGAATTTCAGCCTGACATTACTGAAAGGTGTAAGTGAAATGTGAACTCTGAGCTTGTCAGATGCAAGGCATGTTCTCCTGCATTAACCATGACAATTTAAACCCAATTCCGTTACTAGATCCCGTTTTGTTTCCATTTCCAAGCAAGGCAAGGGATCTATTTAAATCAATATTGAAAGTGTGATGAGTCGGGAAACTCCTGTGTCGCCCAAGACCAGGAGGGGTGGGATCCAAGGTCCACAGAGGCTGCGTACCCGCTTGCTCCCGTACACGCATCGCTCTCCCTGTGCCCGCCGTTTGTTATCACGGGAAGGCAGAGCCGCTGCGTGACACGGCAGTCCGGCACAGCGTGTCCCCGTAACGCGCCCCGCGGCATGGCGCGATGGCGTGTCCCAGGGCTTTCTCCCAGCAGCATCTCTGGAGCTCTGACGCTGCATGGACTCCGAAGCTTCTTGGCATCTCTGGAGCTTTGATGCTCTGCGGACTCCGAAGCTCCTCTGCTCCCGTCCGATAGCAGCCGGAGGGAAGAGGTGCACCAGCATGATGGCGGTCAAGGCCGAGCGGGTCTGGGCTCCAGTACAGGCCCCTCGCCAGCCCGCCAGCGTGCCTCGTGCGCGGCGCCCTCGGGAGACGCGAGCGCCCAGTCTGTCGTTAATCCCCGTGTCTTTACACCGAAGGCAGAGGCTGACGCCAGCGACAGGGCGCTGCGGTGCGCGGCGGAGGCGGCGCGCGGGGGCACACCGGACACTCGGGTCCC